CAATGTTAATTCAGAGAGTGAAGTTTCGCTTTAAGCTGGCTATACACTGATCACAATTCAGCCAGTCCAGCATTGATTGTTTAATCAACTTCAGTCAAAGGGACATGTTGGAAAAAATTACATCAGCTTTAGCCACTGGTCACTGTATTCTAACAGAGCTGGGAGCTACTCTCAAAATACAATGTTCCAGGAGGAGTAGGGGAGTGGGGAGCTTTGGGGGGATTCCTCCATCCACCTTGTTTGTGTGAATGGAGGAATTTGTTAAACTGGCCATAAGCTGTCCCTGCTTGATAAAAGGGACATGTTGGACAACTTTTGTCGATCAGCAATAGTCCCGCTGTCAAAATACAATGTCCCAGTCTGGGGGATTCTGTTAGTTTTTTTTTTTTTTTTTGCTGGACAAAAAAAAAAACTAACCATGCTTTACCCAGCTGTACACACTTGGATTTCTAAATTCTCTAAATTCTTCAGCTCTCTCACCCGAACACCACCTACAAACCATTTTTTTATATTTCTGCTATGAGCATTTTAATAACAATGCAATACCTATATCATATTTTAGGACAAACAAGGCTCAGTTTATATAAAAACACTTTTCAAAGTTTGCTTTGAAAAAGAGAAGTTCCTACGTTGTATTTTCTCATTTGTTCAGAAAAATGACACTAAAATGATAATTAAATTATACTTAAATCATGATTCAGGTAAACGGCACAGTGAAGTTATGTACAAATAAAGAAAGGCTATTTTTTTTTCAATTTTGTGCTTTTCTTTAAATTGAAAAATTGACAAAACAAATTTAAAAAAATAAAATATTTAGAAGAATATACATTTAAAAAAATAGCCGGAAAATAATAGTTGAAGGTAAAGAAAGGGTTAATTAGGGCTGGTTAGTTTTCGTTTTTTCTTTTTTTTTTTTTTTGTTTGTTTGTCAGCTTGCTTTAATGGACATTAAATGTAGTAACAGCATTTTTATTTTGCATCTATCTGCCATCTTAACAGTGTTTATACACACTGTGGCACAGAGTCAGTTTTTTTGACAACAGTGAATATTATAGCTCCTGTATTTACATAGCAATTCCTGGCAAGTACAGGGGACGCAGGGGGACAGGACATAGTACATACTCCCTGTATACTTCCATTAGGATTTTTTGCATGTGTGTGTAAGATGTTCAGTGTCCAAACTGGTTAAGCCAGGTCAAAAGTACATATAAAGATAAAAATACACACAAATGCCAATATCAAGAGAAACTGTATCTCTTAAAAGGAGATCAAAATAGATAGAGCAACATGCTCCAAACAGCTACACGTGTTAAAAAAAAATATATATACATGCCTATGCAGGAAAAGAAAAATATAAAAAAATGTATTCATAGAAATGTGAAATACCCATTCATAATTCAGACCTGATGGAAATCTATTTTTTTACGTAAAAACTGTGGACACTGCACTCACATAGTCAAGCAAAAACATCCCCCCCCCCCCCCATCACCACCACCTCTTAACTAGAGTGTATGCTTCCAGTACCCTGAATTCTCATAAAGGACATTAGAATCATGCATGTTTATAAAATATCTTACTACATTTATTTCTTTACACATGATTAATGTGGAAGGAACATACAAATGTCGGAATAATATGTGTTCATACCTAGGGTGACAACTCACACTCACTGTACTGTATCGATAATTATTATTATTATACAGGATTTATACAGCGCCAACAGTTTGCTCAGCGCTTTACAATATAACGGGAGACAATACAGCAACAATACAGATCAATACAAGAGGGATAGGAGGGCCCTGCTCCTTGGAGCTTACACTCTAAGAGGGAGGGGCTAGTGCTATAAAAGGTAGTAACTGTGGGGGATGGACAGGTTGGAAGAGTAGAAGATTCCATTATTAGCTGAAGGCAGGATAGGCTTCCCTGAAGAGATAGGTTTTCAGAGATCACCTAAAAGTGAGCAGATAGTCTGATAAATTGGGGTAGAGAGTTCCAGAGGATGGGGAAGCTCTGGAGAAGTCCTGGAGACAAGCATGGGAGGAGGAGACAAGGGAGCTAGAGAGCAGGAGGTCTTGCGAGGAGCGGAGAGTACGGTTTGGGTGGTATTTGGAGACAAGATCGGTGATGTAATTTGGGGCAGAGCTATAAATGGCTTTATATGTTATTGTTAGTGTTTTGAATTTTATCCGTTGGGCAATGGGAAGCCAGTGGAGGGATTGGCAGAGAGGGATGGCAGATATGGAACGGTTAGTAAGGTGGATGAGTCTGGCAGCAGCACTCCAGACAGACTGAAGAAGGGATAGCCTGTGATTCGGTAGGCCAATGAGGAGGGAGTTACAGTAGTCAAGGCGAGATATAACCAGGGAGTGAATAAGTTGCTTAGTGGTTTCCGAGGTTAAAGGATAAAGTAGTATCATTGTAACCCTAGGCTGGGAAGTGTGCTAGGACTACAGGACACCTCCCCCTCTCCTCATCACCATAACATAAGGGTGTGGCATGTTTTGTAGCTTACACAGCTGAATAGATATAATGGAGTTAATCTGCTAAAACTAAAGAGTGCAGAATCTGGGTAAGCTGTGCATGGTAGCCAATCAGCTTCTAACTTCAGCTTGTTTTATTAAGCTTTGTCAATAAAACCACGTAGCAAACTGCTTTCTATAGGGGCACTCATGCGGGCTCCAACCCAAGCTGTATTGTGTGTGTCTATTGACACACATAGTGCGGCAAATCCCTGTCCTCCACTTTTTGCTTACAGGATCTGATTGCAGCAGTGGGAGCCATCAACTGCTGCTGTCAGAGACTCCTGTGAGAAGAAGGGAGAGAAGAGCAGTGATGCTGCAGACGGGCACAGCACTGGATCAAGATTAGGCTCATGTAAGTATTTAAGGAGGGCAGGGGGGCAGGGAGCTGACATGGAAAGGTTGTTTCACCTTAATGCAAAGAATGCATTAAGGTAAAAAAAAAAAAACTTTGACCTTTACAACTTTAATGGAAAGATTACCAGGTCAAAATAAAAGAGAAACAAAATAAAAAAACTAATGCAGTTATTGCTCGTGACCCACTACATAACCTACTATGGCTCCACCCTCACACCAGGAACTCCCCAATCAACCCCACCACTAGACCTTTTTAAAGTCAAGGCTCCTTTTAAAATTATGGAAAATCGCAAGGCTCCCCATTCTAAAATGTAAAAAACTATTCTACACACTTCCACGCACACAGTACACCCAACATTAGAGGAGATTTATTCTTCCAAAGCAAATATAACTTTGCACACTGGTACTGACTAGTATTCCAGTGTGTCTCTCCGTTTCTCTCCCTCACTCTGCTAATGTGACCCCAGTGCTGACAGTGGGGGGCAGTGGAGGTGCAAACAATGATGCGTGCACCAGATGTCCTCCTTATCAACTGATGATTTTGTTGGTTGTTGGGATGCTGTCAGCTAGAAGGTCATAAAAAAAGTACACAATGAAAACCTGTGGCTTTGTGTAATTAAAAGGCAGGACTGATCCACCTGCTGGCTTGTATACAATTTTGGGCAATTCTTAGGCATTTTGCTAAGGCACCCCTGAAGAAGCCTGAAGGCACCCTGGTTGATAAAGGCTGTTCTAGACACTCTCGCCATCCAAGGGACAACCACAAATACTCCGCTGGATTGCTCTCCCAACATCTATTCCTCCTATCCATTATTTGCATCCCATTATTTCCCCCAGGACATGAATCTCCTGGTGCTTTCAAGTTGACTTGCGAGCAAATCAATTTTACGGTTTGCTTACTCCAAAAGGGTGAAACCCTTTCCCAATCTACAAAAAGATTGCCACTTACCCAATTCTGAGTTATGATATTTTCAAGCCAAAACCATGGAACTCATTTACTAAAGGTAAGTAGGCTGCAGTAGCAGTAGAAACTAATTATAAAGTGTGCCTTTGGTGGTAAATGGTACTTGGTGGACCTGTCCTGTTATCTAAAGACTATGTATGCAAGTATACAGATTTTTGCGCATTTTTCTTCAACAATCGCTCCCCATAAATCTATCTGAAGTGCTCCTAAATCTAAAACCATTATATCTAAATATAAATTTACATTTATGACCCATGTGCTGACAGCCATGCAGCAGTCAATAGCAAAGGCATAGCTCTAAGGAAATTTGCATGTGCTAGAGGTCAAATCCAGGCTATGCTAGATACTACTCACTGGGGAGTTAACAACCAAGCTGCAGGGCACTATGTTCAATTACAGCAAGGTCTCTTCTATACAACTTCTATAGCATGTTCACAGTCTGAGAGTCTCCTTGTCTGCAGTCTCTGACCATCTCTTGTACCATGCATGTAGTCTTTGACTATATTCTGTTGTGTGTCTGCTGTCCCTGATAGTAAATATTCACTGAATTTTATGCGCAGCCCCTTGATGATGTTGAGGGCCGCACTTAAGGCCTCCCATATCAAGAAAGTTGACCAATACTGGTCTACGTGTACTTCTTACAAATCCCTAAATATACAGCCTCCGTATTCTCTGCAAATCTTTAATAAGAAGGATTGAAAAATAAAACTAATGCAGCTAAATACTGGTAAGTTACAATACATAGCATTTTAGTTTTTGGGTTTAGATGTATTTTAGGAATTTATTAATTTTAACATGAGCAGCTATGTAACCAAAATCCAAAATATTAATTCCGACTGAACGAATAATTCAAAACGCCAGATTCCATTAAATGCTGAATATTTAAGTGTTGAGCAGAATTGGCCTCTAGTAATTAATATTCAAATGATATGACTCCTCTGACATTAGATTTCTCCAGGCTGAATGGGCATAAAAGTTAAAAAGCAAGCGGTAATGTTTGTAAATTACAGTGTGAACACTTATTAATAAAATCATTTTATTTTCTGTGCACGCAGAAAATGGAATAGAGACTCTCTTTGATCCGGGAAGATTTTTAAAGCTAGTAATTAAATGAACAAATTTGAAAAGTTAATTAGCACGGCAGCAGCTTCTATACTTACTTGTTTCACGTTTTCTGCTAGGAAGACGAAGTAAACACTGCAAAACCCCAGCTGCGTGGCCACCAGGGCAAAGTCGACTGCATTCCTTTAGAGGAGATGGAGGTATGTTAGTGAATAAAATAGGCACTGGGCTATAGACAGACAGGTCAGACTCTTCCTATGAAACAGGTTCTGAAAATGTAATATTTACAACACAGCCTTGGTTTTATCGGTAAATGTGGTGCAAACAGCAGGGGTGATGTGGAAGTGCATTAACTCTCAGCAAGCATTTCATTTTTTTTTTTTTGGTTACCAGCAGAGCAGTGAAATATTATTTTTCCATCTTGCTGTACATTTCTTGCTGGACAAAAGTGCATTTGTCTTTATGTGTGGGGCAGCGGGGTGCTTTTTGTTTTTATTTTAGTAAAACATTTAGTTTTTTTATTTTTTACAGTTTTTAAAATGTTTTTCATTTAACTTTATTGCTATCATAAGGTGACTAACAAGCAGCATATGTGATACCATTGGGCAGGTGACAGGTCCTCTTTATGGAGACATCAGGGTTCTATTAGACCAGTGTTTCTCAACCCTTTTCCGTTAAGGCACCATTTCAAATTATGGACAACCCTGAGATACCCCATTCAAAAATGTAAAAAATGAAACTAATAGTTTTTACATAATGCAACGGGATCCATGCATCATAGGACACCCAAAATTAGAATTGATTTATACTTGCAAAGCAATATAACTTTGCGCACTGGCACTGTTTCTCCTCTTACCCAGTTTCTCACCCTGATTCAGCTAATGTGACCCCAGTGTTGACGGAGAGGGGCAAAGAAAGACATCCCCAGGCACCCAAGGTCCTCCTTATCAACCTATGATGTCATCTGTTAGGATGCTGGGGGCTGGCCTTCCTGGTGCCCAAGGTTGTAATTCTGTACACTAAAATCCTGTGGCTTTGTGTAACAAAAAAGGCAGGCCTGATCCACCTGCCAGCTTGTTGGCAATTCAGGGCCAATTTGTGGCCATTTTAAGCATTTTGTCAAGGCGCCCCTAAATAACCCAAAAGGCAACCTGGTTGACAAAAGCAGTAATAAACCCCCAATGTCTCCCCTGCCTTCCAAAGCAGCTAAACAAGCACAGATCGATGCCCTTCTTACTATAGTAATAATGATCAGGTGGCTATAGAGCCCCCCCGGATCACTTTTACTGAACAACCAATAGCTGCCTATTAAAAAAAAACAAAAAAACACAATACCAAGCTCATGGCTGCTTGACCTCGGTATGTATTTGGGAGGGAAGGGCCAGTTGAACACAGGTGTTTTTTTTTTTTTTTTTACCTAAATGCAGAGAATGCATATATTAGGTAAAAAACACCTTCTGCCTTTAAAACTACAGGGCATCCAGAAATTATTCACATCACATAACTTTTGCCATATTTTGTTATGTTACAGCCTTATTCCAAAATAGATTACATTCATTTTTTTCCTCAACATTCTACAAACAATACCCCATAACGACAACATGAAAGAAGTTCGTTTTGAAATCTCTGCAATATAGTAAACATAAAAAAGAAAAAAACCCCATGTACATAAGTATTCTCAGCCTTTGCCATGACACCCAAATTGAGCTCTGGTGCATCCTGTTCCCACTGATTTGTCTTGAGATGTTTCCACAACTTAATTGGAGTCCACCTGTGGGAAATTCAGTTGATTGGACATGATTAGGAAAAGCATAAACCTGTCTATATAAGGTCCCACAGTTAACAGTCATGTCAGAGCACAAACCAAGCCATGAAGTCCAAGGAATTGTCCATAGACCTCTGAGACAGGATTGTATCAAGGCACAGATCTGGGGAAGGGGACAGAAAAATTGCTGCAGCATTGAAGGTCCCAATGAGCACAGTGTCCTCCATCATCCGTAAATGGAAGAAGTTTGGAACCACCAGGAATCTTCCCAGAGCGGGCCGCCCGGCCAAAATGAGCAATCGAGAGAGAAGGGCCTTAGCCAGGGAGGTAAGAAAGCACCCGATGGTCACTCTGAAAGAGCTCCAGCATTTCTCTGTGGAGAGAGGCGAAACTTCCAGAATAACACCCATCTCTGCAGCACTCCACCAGTCAGGCCTGTATGGTAAAGTGGCCAGATGGAAGCCCCTCCTCAGTAAAAGGCAAATGGCAGCCCGCCTGGAGTTTGCCAAAAGGCACCTGAGGGACTCTCAGACCATGAGAAACAAAACTCTGGTCTGATGAAACAAAGATTGAACTCTTTGGCCTGAATGCCAATCGACATGTCTGGAGGAAACCAGGCACAGCTCACCACCTGGCCAATACCATCCCTATAGTGACGCATGTGGTGGCAGCATCATGATGTGGGGATGTTTTTCAGCAGCAGAAACTGGAAGACTAGTCAGGATCGAAGGAAAGATGAATGCAGCAATGTAAAGAGACATCCTTAATGAGAACCTGTTCCAGAGCGCTCTGGACCTTAGACTGGGGCTACGGTTCATCTTTCAACAGGACAAAGACCCTAAGCACACAGCCAACATAACAAAGGAGTGGCTACGAGCCAACTCTATGAATGTCCTGGAGTGGCCCAGCCAGAGCCCAGACTTGAACCCGATTGAACATCTCTGGAGAGATCTGAAAATGGCTGTGCACCAACGCTCCCCTTCCAACCTGATGGAGCTTGAAAGGTACTGCAAAGAAGAATGGGAAAAATTGCCCAAAAATAGGTGTGCCAAGCTTGTAGAATCATACTCAAAATGACTTGAGGCTGTAATTGGTATTAAAGGTGCTTCAACAAAGTATTGAGCAAAAGCTGTGAATACTTATGTACGTGGGGTTTTTAATGTTTAATAAATTGCAAAGATTTCAAAACTAAATTTCTTTCACGTTGTCATTATGGGGTATTGTTTGTAGAATGTTGAGGGAAAAAAATGAATTTAACCCCTTCGCGCCGGCATCACACAAATATGCGGCCTCACAGAATTGGGATTTTTTCCATGGGGCTGCATATTTGCGTACCTGTCTTTCTGCTGGGAGTGCACAGCACACTCCCAGCACAAAGACCAGAGTGTCACTGAGAGCCCCGGGTCCCATTCTAATGATTGGGACCTGGGACTCCTGATTTTGGGTCACATGACCGCTGTGATAGCCTCTGATTGGATATCACAGTGATCAGTCACTGTATAGCCCGCCTCCCTTGTTTTTTTTCCTCTATGAATGGAGGAGAGAGATACATTGTATCTCTAACTCCTTGCAAAAAGGAAAAAAAAAGGTTTGCTAAAAAAAAAGATAAATAAAGAAAAAATACCTAGATCAAAGTTTGATTTAGTTCAGTGCCAGGGTTAGTGTTTGGGTCAAGGTTAGGGTCAACAAATAACATACACATATATGGTATTGTAGCGATCGTCAAGAGCTGGAAAATTGTTCTTTGGTGGTAGGTAATGGTAGTAACAAGAAACACAGCTAAATTTAAAAATATGATTTTTTTTTTACTATTTTGGGCCAGTTTTCCTTTGATAATAAAAAAAAAAAATTTAGGAGATATCCATTACCATTTACCACAAAATGAAAGCCCAATTTGTGCTGAAAAAAACAAGGTATAATTCACCTGGATGTACAATGTAGTTGTGATGATACGTACGGTTATACTAACACATGTCAACGTTGCAAAATTGTGCTTCAGCATTAAAATTTGTTTTATCCTTAGGCGTGAAGGGGTTAACCCATTTTGGAATAAGGCTGTAACATAACAAAATGTGGCAAAAGTTAAGCGCTGTGAATACTTTCTGGATGCACTGTACTTTTAACCCCAACACATTGTATATTTTCTGAAAGTAGAGGCCCTGAAAAATAAAATGGCAATAGTTCCAACTTATGATATAAACTATCAATGTAAAGGTTTATCAAGCGCAATATTTCTGTAAATATACACTAAAGTTATTATCGTGAGAAAAAAACAATATATTTCCCAATTTTTGGTAAAATATAATCGATGAGTTTTTGTGTCTAGTAAATAGATACCAAACATGTAAAGCCTGTACCTGTAAAACGTTGGCACCCTACATTTTCTATAGGCGAAGCTTTAAAAGCTCCTACAGGTCATAAATTTAGAGTTAACCCTGAATAATGGTCCAAAGTTATTGCCAGCGATATGTGATGTGTAGAGCAATCAACATTTTAATACATAGGCACCCCAGGTGCATGTGTTTTTATTCGAATGTGCATGTATGTGGGGAGGGGGGAGCTCAGCATATTATTTTTTTTTTTTTTGTAGGGGTTTACGTGCTTGTGTGTAACTTTATTTTTTTTACACTTTTATTTTCACATAAATTCTTCACATTGTAAATCAAAAGTTCCCTATATAATACTATTTGGTTGTGACAGGTTCTCTTTAAAGAGACATCAGGGGTCTTTTCGCCCCCTGATGTCTCACCTGCCCTCCACTGAAGATAATGGAGCACAGATGTACTGAGGGTGCGTGTAAGCAATCAGGTAGCTGTACAGCAACAGCAACCGGCTTGTGGAGCAGCCAAGAATGTATTTGAAACACCCTGCTGCTGCCAACATATGCCATACCATCGGTGATGGCGAAAGGGTTAACCACCTCCCGTCCGGCCGTTGTATATAAACGGCCAGACAGTGGCAGTGCAGGGTCGGGTGGCCGTTTATAAACGGCCTCCCCGCACCCTGCTTGTGCGCGCTCCCTAGGAGCGCGCAGCACCGCGATCCGGTGCCTGCTGTGTCCTCCCATAGTGCAACACCGATCGTCGGATGGGACCTCTGTACAAGGTCCCGATCATGTGATCACTGATTGGCCAATCAGTGATCACATGCAGAGTAGTAAGCAAGATGTCACTTATGACATCTTTGCTTACTACATGTGAAATCTGTGAATGATCACAGAGGTCACATGGTACAAGGCTATTCACAACAACCATGTACCAAGTGACAAGCTGTGACCAATCACATCTCACTCAGTAGTTCTCAATGGCTGCAAGAATGCAGCTAGAGAGAAGGAGAAATGATTGCTTTTACATACTTTATGGGTGTAAAAGCAATCAGTGTAAAAAAAATAAATACATCTTCATCACCCCTCACAAGTAGTACAGTGTCACCATGTTGACACTGTACTGCTAGGGTGACAGTATGTAAAAAAAAAATTAATAATAAATAAAAAATATAAAAAATGGGTTATTTTTTTTACTAAAAATATAAACAGAATACATTTTGGCCAAGATTTATGATGAAATACAATTTATTTGCAAAATTTTTGAAAGAAAAACTTTTTTTCTAAATTTTTTGGGCATTTTAATTTACATAGCAAAACAAATAAAAATCCCAGTGGTGAATAAATACCACCAAAATAAAGCTTTATCTGTCTCAAAAAAAAATGCTAAAAAAATTCATATCGGTACAGTGTTGCATGACCGCGCAATTCTCATTCAAAGTGTGATAGCACTGAAAGCGGAAAATTGGCTTGGACAGGAAGGGGGTAAAAGTGTCCGGACTGGAAGTGGTTAAACAAACCCATTCAGGGCAAAGCCACAGCTTTACATTAATCACCTCTTCCTCCCCAAAACTGACCTTTGCTCCCCTGCTGTTCCATTCAGTGTTTCTGATGCAGGGAGGTGGGTTGGTATGATTGGCTCTGTGCATTTTGTCTATGATCTGCACTGTCTACTGTGCCTAGCATAAGTTGTAAACAGAGCACCATTTTAAAACGTTGCTCCGAACACCATGTCCATCAGTCTGCCATTTTTAAATGTAAGGTGGCAGTGAAATGGAAGCCAGAAAAACTTGTAAGTGGCCACTGACTTTGTCTTAGCAGGTACCTCCAGGTTCATACAGACTCCAGAAAACAGGACACACTGATGTGCAAACATTCTCCAGTGTCTGTAGTGTACAAACTGGTAAAGCGGTTCCTTATTGGTTAGTGAGGCTGCCCATTACAGTAGCATATTAACAGTGAGGAGCAGGAAACGACAGATGGAGCAACTACAGGAGCTGATCATTATCGAATTATCAGTGTACCTGTGTAATCTGCTTGCAGTTTCTTTTTTCACCGAATAAGTTTCATGAATTCTCCCTGTATTATATGTTTATTTGTAAAAACTGGAAAAAATAAAAAATGGCATCTCTACCCCTCCAACCCCCTTCCTCATTAATATTTTCTGGGATAAGATTTACAAGTATAGGATAAAGAGCCAAGACACGCATTCCATAACATTGGTCACGCTTTCATCTTTGAATCTCCCAAGTGGCACAATTCAATATAAAGGTTTTTTTTCATATATACACTATATTGCAAAAACATTTTCCAATCACCTCCATGGCCACAGGTGTATAAAATCAAGCCCCTAGGCATGCAGACTGCTTCTACAAACATTTGTGAAAGAATGGGTCACTCTCAGGAACTCAGTGAAATTCAAGCGTGGTACTGTGATAGGTGGCCACCTGTGCAATAAATCCATCCATGAAATTTCCTTACTACTAAATATTCCACGGTTCACTGTTAGAGGTATTATAACAAAGTGGAAGCAACTGGGAACAACAGCAACTCAGCCACGAAGTGGGAGACCACGTATAATGACAGAATGTGGTTAGTGCATGCTGAAGCACACAGTGCGCAGAAGTCATCAAACATCTGCAGAGTCAATAGCTAAAGACCTCCAAACGTCATGTGGCTTTCAGATTAGCACAACAAAAAAGTGCATAGAGAGCTTCATGGAATGGGTTTCCATGAACAAGCAACTGCATCCAAGCCTTATATCACCAAGTGCAAAGCATCGGATGCAGTGGTGTAAAGCACGCCACCACTGGACTCTAGAGTAGTGGAGATGTGTTCTCTGGAGTGACAAATCACACTTTTCTGTCTGGCAATCAGATGGATGTGTCTGGGTTTGGAAGGTTGCCAGGAGAACGGAAGTTGCCTGACTGCATTGTGCCAAGTGTAAAGTTGGTGGAGGGGGATTATGGTGTGGAGTTGTTTTTCAGGGGTTGAGCTTGGCCCCTTAATTCCAGTGAAGGGAACTCTTAAGGCATCAGCATACCAAGACATTTTGGAGAATTTCATGCTCCCAACTTTCTGGAAACAGTTTGGAGATGGCCCCTTCCTGTTCCAACATGATTGCGCACCAGTGCACAAAGCAAGGTCCATAAAGACATGGATGAGCAAGTTTGGGGTGGAGGAATTTGTCCTGACCGCAATCCGATAGAACACTTTTGGGATGAATTAGAGTGGAGACTGTGAGCCAGGCCTTCTCATCCGACATCAGTGCCTGACCTCACAAATGTGCTTCTGGAAGAATGATCAAACATTCCCATAGACACCCTCCTAAAGCTTGTGGACAACATTACCATAAGAGTTGAAGCTATTATAGCTGCAAAGAGTGAGCCAACTTAATGTTGAACCCTACGGACTAAGACTGGGATACTATTAAAGTTCAGGTGCATGTAAATGCAGGCGTCCCAATACTTTTTGCAATATAGTGTATATCAAAAAAGGAATTCAAAAACTATCACCAAAAAAAATGCAGGTGAAAAGGACAGAAAATCCAAGTGTTTTAAATGCTTACTTGTGGAACTGTATTATTCCATATACATTTTATTGCCTTGTAATATGCTTCTGAACTTGCTAAGGAATTGACACTCCAGTCAATTCTCTAGCATAGTTCCTTCTTTATTGCAAATCATAGCCCTCTCCTCTACTGGAAGTGTCTAGTTACTCTCTGTGCTGGCCCAGCACCTCTACCCCACCCTTCATTCCTCCCTAGATAACCTTTCAAATAGCAGAAGGAGTAAGAATACTACAAAGTGCAACTTGACTGATAGCTCTAAGTCTGCTGGAATTGCTGAAATCACATCTAAGATGGCAGCACCCCACAGAAGTCTCAGGACTTTTAGTTACCTAAGCAAGGAAGCCTTTTACAGGTAAATAATATGCATGGAATATATTAACTGCACATATAATCTCATTGAAAGATTGCAAAAATAAAATGATGTGGCAACAGGGTCTCTTTAACCATTAGCCGCCCGGCCAATGGCCGTTTGGCGGCTTCAAATGCGCTCCTGTATTCCGGGTGCACGCCATTTGGCGTGCTCCCGCACATGCGCAGTTTGCGCTAATGCAGAGCGGCGCAGCAGCGCGATCTGTCACCGGCCGTGCACCTCGGACACGGCCGATGACAGATCCGAGTACCGGCTCCCATAGCTGGTACCATGTGACCTGCTGTGACCAATCACAGCAGGTCACATGATAGTTGTATACAATGGATGACTTCATTCATGATGCCATCCATTGTATACTAGTGCCTAGCTGTGAATGGTCACAGCAGGTCACATGCACATGTCATGTGATTAGCTGTGACCAAATCACAGCTAAGCACAAAAAATAAAAAAAAAATAAAAAAAAAAAAAAAAAAAAAAAGGTGAATGAATCGATGTCATTCAGGTAAATGCTTGCTTATAGCAAAGTAATTCTTTGCTATAAGCAAACTGTGTAAAAAAAAAAAAAAAAAAAAAAAAAAAACATACTGATCACTTCCCCAAAGTAGTACAATGTTACTATGGTAACATTGTACTACTTTGGTCATAGTAAAATATGAAAAAAAAATCTTAAAAAAAATAAAAAAAAATGTAATAAAAAATTAAATATAATATAAAAAAAATATATATATATATATATATTTTTTTTTTTTTTTTCATACTGTCACCAGTCAGTGTCCCTGTTCACCGCCATGCCAGTTATATGATGACGCTGTACTGCACTGGTGACAGTATGTAAAAAAAAAAATAGTGAAAATAATTTTTTTAATTTTTTCATTTTCCGAAAAATGACGACAAAAAAAATACAACTTCAAAAAACTCGCCATGCCTCTTATGAAGTACGTTGGACTGTCTACTCTGCAAAAAGGGGTCATTTGGGGGATATCTGTACTGTTCTGACATTCTTGGACCTCAAGAAATTAGATTGGCTATCAGTACTTTAGGATTGATCAATTTTCAGATCTATACCATAGTTTGTGAACTCTATAACTTTCCTACAAACTAAATAATACATCCTAATTTGGGTTATTTTCACCAAAGACATGTAGCAGAATACATCTCGGCCTAAATTTATGAAGAACAATTATTTATTTGTAAACTTTTATAACAGAAACAAAGAAAAATTTGGTTTTTTTTTTCAAAATTTTTGGTCTTTTTTTTGTTAATTTAGCAAAAAATAAAAAACCCCAGCGGTGATTAAATACCACCAAAAGAAAGCTCTAGTTGTGTGAAGAAAATTATAAAATTTTAGTTTGGGTACAGTGTTGTATGACCGCGCAATTGTCATTCAAAGTGTGAGAGCGCTGAAACCTGAAAAATGGCCTGGGCAGGAAGGGGGAAAAATCACACGTATTGAAACGGTTAAAGCCAACATCATGACCAAAGAAGGGGTATAAAAAAATCTCCCACCAGAAGCCTTCAAACCCTGAAAACCCAACAAGAGCCATTTGTTAAAATTATTTTGGATAGAATGGGGAAGAATGAGGTGTGTGATCCCATTTGACAGTTATTTCCTTACTTCCTGTCCCTGTGACACCCAAGAACAAGAAACAGGGGGTGCAGTTGTCCACAGCAAATTAAAGAAACAGGCAGCAATAAAAAGAATACCCTGTTAAAATTATTTTTGGATAGAAACTTTTTCTCATTCTACAAAAAATGTGGGCTTTTTGTCTGTGCCTGTTTTGTTCTGACAGGAAGTGAGGGGACATCTCCCCAATGGGGTCATTGACAGCAATAAAAACCTGACAGATTCCAACCTTTCCTGCTACATCTAAAACAAAATACAATTTGAGTGGTACTTTAACAACTGGAAGGGGGATCAAACTCTGCCCACGAATGAAAGCAAAGCTTTAACAGCTTTCTAAGGTTCACAAAAGTGGAACAATGATGGCAAATCTGTATTACTGTAATTAACAAAATATAAAAATAGAAGGAAAAGGCCTAATCTGGTAAGGATACTGTTTAGTTGTAAAACTATCCCTTTAAAGTCATCTCAGCTAGGAGAAACTTCCTCTTCTTATACATAAACCATCATTTTATCAATATGTGTGGCATCTGACACGAGCAATTCCGCCGCAGTCACAGTAGCCACAAATTGCACAAAATAGGTATCATCATTCTGTGCAGTACAGCTAATACAATTGCACCAATGGCTTTTTCAATCAAAAGTTTACACTGAATCAGCAGGCAGGCCACGCACATCACGTACATAGTGCTTAGAAATCCGTTCCTATATTGTCACAGTCATCTGGAGGAAGTCTAACTTCCCAGGCACTAAGTGGCCTTTTATCACAACCGGCCATCATACTGCAAATCATCAACAGGCAACGCATAAACATAAATCTAAAAGCAGTTTTGTAGGGAAAGGCTTTTCGGAATGATTTTAAAGCGGAACTCCAGACTTATTTTCAGTTTTGTATGGTTGTATCGGGCATACTTCTCTCCTGTCCTGAAACTGCTTACTCTGATTTTGCTGCACACTGAGTTTCTCATGATAAGAAAGAAAAGCTGAAGCAAGTCAAAAAGTCTACCTCATTTCCTGGCTGGAGGACATCCAACATCATTGGTGTGGAAAGAGTGCTGCCCCATTGTTGGTATCAGTAGGAGGATTGGTGCCCCATCTTTGATGGGAATAGTGCCCCAAGGGCCAGATAAAGGGAAGTAAAAGTCTACATCTGGCCCCTAGGCCACAATCTGGAGAGCCCCGATCTAGCCCTTTCCTCCCCAACCTTTCTGTCTCTGGCCCTCTCCTTTCACTCAATGGAATTCAATTATTTTAATCATGGAGGCATTCAGCATCCCATGTGGGCATTACGTAGGGCAGTCTCCACAAAAATGTAGCTTGCCTAGGAAAACCCACACCTCCAGATTGACACTTAGTCCTCTAGACTGACATCCAGCCATCAAGCCAAAATTTGATATATATGTTAACTGAATAACTTTTCCTAGGAGCCAGCCCACTTCTTGCATCAAAGATTTGGGTTCTTGAGAGAAATACTGAGGCAGGGTGCTGGGATGTTTTAAGTAAGCTATGTACACCACCCTGCCAGGCCCTCCCACCAGACATGATCTGCCTGGGTGTAAAATAAGATATGCGAAACAAACTGAAAAAGGTTTTATTTAAAAACCTCATTCGGGCTCATGTACACTGCAGCTGATAAACTGACTATCAGGAGCTGTTCAGCGGTTTATTCAGCAGCCCCTGAACTCTCCCTAATGTTTTCCTATGTGCCCATGTACACATCGTCGTTTACAGTCATTTTTTTTCAACGCACAAAACTTGCGTTCAGGAGTAGATTTTACCGGCGTTTCAAACATTAAACGCTTGTAAACACGGTTTAACAGTGTTTATAAGCCAATTTGTCCACATATAATGATCATAAACGCATGTGAGACCATAAATATATAGTCTTATAGCAGAAGAAAGTGCAGCAGATGAACTTGTGACTCCAGCCAATAGTGAAAAATGCGCACTCACCGGAAGCGCATAGATAATGCACATAAATATAAATCCTCGAGGTATACTGGTCAATCCGGTGAACTTTTTCCTATGGTGCAGTCATCAAGCCATTAGGGAAGTATTTAAATCCACTGGTTCCAGAGGTCCTCCTTAAAATTAGTGAGGTGATCAGCCTGGATATGGGGCTCCTATTCCTCCGGATATGCTGGATGCTAATAGGTACCTGTGGGCTTAATAGCTCAAGACAGGAGCCACAAAAAAGGTGCCCATAGTGTAGTAGATTAAATGACTTTATTGTAGTACCGCATAAAACAGATAGGGTATAGTGATGAGCAGAAAATAACACTATACCTCCATTAAAATGGCCGCCCGGGCTTCCTTCCAGCTCCAGGCAGCAGTAGTGTCATGTGCTGTCTGGCTCCTCCTTCCCAAATGCCCAGTGTATTTTGGGCATTTGGGAAGGTCTCCTGAGGTTTTTTAAAAACGCTTCTAAACGCAAACGCAGATAAACGTGGTATGCAAAACGCAGCTAAACTGACGTGTTTTAACCTATGTTTTCCAGCAGTCCATTTCCATTGTTCAGAAGAGTTTTCCAAACGCCCCGTGTACATGAGCCCTTAGAGTGTTGATGAAAGGTGAAAGGGGGAATTATGTTTTTTGTCCGTTCTAGTGTGTTGGCAGTCCACTCCTTTGAATAGACTGATCTTACACAACATGCAATACCACATCATATACATATACAGATCATATATACAAACACATACAGTAAAATGGCATGCATATATTAGAAACACGACAAGTTTAAACACTTGAGTTTGGCTTGCTATAGGACTTACAATCACCCATACAGGAGTAGTAGCAGTAATAGGAGCCAGTCAGGTATGCTGATAAGAAACAAGCTGACAGTAGTAGAGAGCAGAGGGTTGCAGAAAGATGATCTCATCAGTCTATTGATGCTCCTTCTATGTCCAAATACCAAATAGCAGACTAGGGGTGAGTAAATGACACCATTGTACTCCTACCTAACAAATAAAGTGGTTTTATCCACATGACTGTGCTGTGTGCCAAGGATGAATGGGAAAATATGCAAATCCTTTGGCAGATAAAACAACTCCTGTATATGAAATTCATTTTCGTATTTACAGTGGGTATAGGAAAGAATCACCGTTGCAAAAGGTGAATGTCCTTGCATGGCCTAGTCAGAGCCCAGACTTAAACCCCATTGAAAATCTGTGGAATGACTTGAAGATTGCAGTCCACAAATGGTCACCATCACATTTAACTGAACTTGTGCAGTTCTGTAAAGAAGAGTGGGCAAATATTACAAAGTCTATATGTGCAAAGTTAGTAGAGACATATCCCAACAGACTAAAGGCTGTAATTAAAGCAAAAGGATGATCCTTTTTTTCCAACTCAGTAATTCTGTTTTTGAATTTTTTTCTGAAATGTTGGTGCAATATCTTTCACTTGGGTATTATAAGTTGCACTGAGTAAATACAACTGGCTAAAACAAAAACTGTGTGTCTTCATTTCAGGCTGCAAAGCAATAAAATGTGATTATTTTAATGGGGGGTAATTGTTTTCTATACCCACTGTAGATGTTTACCTGGAGCTCATCTTGAAGGTATGTGAGCATTTTAGTGACAATAGTAACTTATTGGACCTCTGTGTTCAGTAGACAAAGTTCATAGACATTGGAAGAATACTTCACTATAGCACGTTCAACACTTACTTCCCCATGGAGGCATACTGCTGGAGGAACTTGGCTGGCCCCACTTCCAATGACAGCCCGACTGTTTCGCTGTAGCCTAAATTTGTCCTTTTGTACCTAAAACCAGAAAACAGCAGAGTAAAGCCATCATATAAAGATATAGAATGGAATGACTGGCATAATTAAATGTATTAGGTCATTAATTCAGACAAATCATTAACGAACAAAAAAACCAATATGTTCTACTGATAAATAAAAAAAAAAGGCAGAAGAAGCTCCCTGTTCTGAATATGTTCCTAGTTCATCTTGGAAGTGAGCAAAAAAGGGTGGCTATGCTCCTACATACTGTGGGACCATGGAGAATGAACATAGCCACCCTCCAAACCTAAATTAGATTGGCCAACACAGTACAGAGAGGCTTATCTATGTTAAACAATCCACAGCCCCCTCTTTAGCAATACCTAGAGCAAAGGCTAGATAGAATTTTTAAGCAAGTAAAACGCAATTAAAAGTAAGCAGAAATTTAATAATAAAAAATATTTTTTAAGGCATTTGCATAGTCAAAATGTATTTTCTTTAAAAAGAACAAACATGTTATACTTACAGTACTTGCTCTGTGCAATGGTATTGCACAGAGCAGAACCGATCCTCCCCTTCTCAGGTCTCCTGCTGGAGCTCCTGGCTCCTCCTTTTCTTGGTGTGCCACCATAGATAGCTGCTTCCTATTGCAGCACACCTGTGGGCTCGATCTTGAGCCACGCTGTCTGCATCTGTGGACACATACAGTGAGGGCCGGCTTTGCCCCAAAGCCCCCCTTATCACAGGATATGTCAGAGAGCAGCGGAAGCCAATAGCTCTCACTGCTCTTGGCAAAGTCTGAGAGCAGAGACCTGCTGCAGACAGGCACAACACTGGATTGATATTAGGCTCAGGTAGATATACTGGGGGTGAGGGGGTGATATGCATTCAAAAACATTTTTTACCTTAATGCAAAAAGAGTTACTGCCTTAAAATTTATTTACATGGGGAAAAAAGAAAAAAAAAAAAAAAAAAAAAGCAGAATTTTTAGGTACCCATCGAAAACATTTCATAAAGTTATATCATCTTTTTTTTAAAAGCACATTAAAAAGCCTTGTTATGGTTCCTGATAAAGCATCATAAATGGGGCCTCAAATGCAGCCCCTGACATCGTCAAAGGGCCACACAAAAGACAAAATGTTCAATATATGTAATGCTTGAGAGGGCTGTCAGAAACTGCAGACCTAATAAAGGAAATAAGGGTCAGGGAGTGGAGACATGCTACATTTTTGGCTGGGGATATGCTGCAGAAAACAATATGTAACTGGGAACATGTTACATGAGGTTATTAACCACTTCCCGACCAGCCGTTGCATATAAACAGCCGGACGGTGGCACTGCAGGGTTGGGTGGCCGTTTATAAACGGCCTTCCCACACCCTGCTTGTGCGCGCTCCCTGGGAACGTGCAGCTCCTCGACCCGGTGCCCGCTGTGTCCTCCGGACACAGTAAAACACCGATCGTCGGACGGGACCTCTGTACGAGGTCCCGATCATGTGATCACCGCTTGGCCGATCAGTGATCACATGCAAAGTAGTAAGCAAGATGTCACTTGTGACATCATTGCTTACTACGTGTGAAATCTGTAAATGATCACAGAGGTCACATGGTACAAGGCTATTCACAACAGCCTGTACCATGTGACAAGCTGTGACCAATCACAGCTCACTCAGTACTTCTCAATGAGTGCAAGAATGCAGACAGAGAGGAGAAATGATTGCTTTTACATCCTATATGAGTGTAAAAGCAATAAGTGTAAAAAAAAAAAAAAAAAAATCTTCATCACCCCCCACAAGTAGTACAGTGTCACCATGGTGACACTGTACTGCTAGGGTGACAGTATGTAAAAAAAAAATATAAAAATAAAATATAAAAAAATAAAATAAAATTTAAAAAAAAATGTTTAAAAATTATAATTTTTGGTTATAAACTAATTTGGATTTTTTTTACTAAAAAGATAATGGAATAAATTTTGGCAAAGATTTATGATGAAATATTATTTGCTAAATTTTATTTAAAAAAACACTTTTTTTCAAAATTTTTGGACTTTTTCATTTACATAGCAAAAAAAATAAAAATCGCAGCGGTGAAAAAATGCCACCAAAATAAAGCTTTATCTATCTCAAAAAATGGTAAAAAATTCATTTGGGTACAGTGTTGCATTACCGCGCAATTGTCATTCAAAGTGCGATAGCGCTGAAAGCTGAAAATTGCCCTGGTCTGGAAGTGGTTAAAGATCACTGCTTTTACCCTAATCAACGTTCCCACTACAGACTGCTGAGGTGCGAGGGCCACACATCATACACTAAAGGGCTGCATGTGGCCCTCATGCTGCAAGCTGGGCCAATAAGGTATAGAGCCTTAAATGACTTCTATTCCCATCCAACGCCTAGTTGCTGTGTGGTATATTCATCAGCGTACTATTATCACATTTTTCTCAAAGACCAATATATTTGCCAACTAGGCAGCGGAATGGAAATGTTTCTCTCCATGTTTCTTGAAGCATAACTGAGGCTATTCTAGAATAAACATGCAAATAATATATCAGTACAAGACAGTACAGTTATAAAAATGTAGCTACTCCATACGTATTGTTATATATTCTTCTACATACAGTCATGATTGTGGGCTCCCTTGGATAATGGCCACTGAAAACCAATATTACTGGGGCAAGTGCAGCGACACATAGGAGAGGTTAAAGCGCCCAGACCGCATAGCAGACCTCTGTGGTTCTATAATAATGTACTGTACGTTAAAATTATTTTGTGTGTGAAGGATGTTCCCAACTCTCCCCCCCCCCCCCCCCATGGTTTTCCCACTTAAAGTGCCACTAAACCCACAACAGTAAAATCAGTCTGTATAAGCAGTAAATAATGCTTGTTATACTCCCTGTGGAACCTAAAGGGTTAATCCTCTGCATTATATAAAAAGGCTGTTTGACCCTGTCTTCTCTGATCCTCCCCTTCTTTCACATTCCCCAAACCATCTGCTGATAGTACAGAGCCCTAGGAGACACTCTAGCAGTACACACCACACTGAGCTTGTGCAGAGTTTTCTTTTTGTGAGGGTGCATGTGATCAACATAGGGCCAATCAGCACTGTCCAGACAGAGGGTTGGGGGTCATGCAGCCTCAAAGGACAGCCAGTGGAATGAAAACTTCTACAAGATTAACCAGTGCTCAGCGGACACTGATAGAAGTCACAAGACTGCTCTAACTGCTGATGAGAAAAGGTATTTAGCAGTATAAATTTACTAAAATAATTGGATTTCCATGTTCTGTGTACTGTGGGAGACCAGATATAGTGAATCTGGGTTTAGTAACACTTTAACCAGCAGTGCTGTAGTGTTCTTCAAAACACATACTCACCCACACAGCAAATCCAGGATTGTCTCACTGTGATCCATTGTGCGAGGGTCAGCAGGTCCCGGTCCACTATCATGGTCCTCTTAGCTGGATGCCCCTTCCGTGCAGGCAACCAGCTCTGATGACATACTGTTACCAACCACCACCCCCCTTCCCCGGCCCACCCTCTGGACCACCCCCCAGCCCCTGTGTGTGCTGATCCTGCAGGCTCCTGGGATATATGATGCAAGTATCCCAGGAGTCTACAGGAACAGGTACATGTCATGTCAGGACAGTCACAAAGCCTGCAGGTCTTCAATAAGACCTGGACACAGGATAGGAGATTTCTTCCCACCCAAATCACTGTGAAGCCTCCAAGATCCAGGCCCTGGTCCGATATTACAAAACCCAGAGAAAACAGAAACCCCATTCTTCTCAGCACAGATGCAATACTCTAAAGCCCCTTGAGCTGCATCATTGAGAATGCCGTGTTTCTTCTGCCTATGCTTGCAAAGTGGCAGGGCCTTGCACTGTCACACCCTCTTAAAGAATAATTGTACTTTTACAAGTCTATGGAAAAGCAAAGACCGCTTGAAGCATATGAAAAAAAAGGGCAACTGCAGATCATAGGCAATGGAACAATCTCAGAAGTCTCTTGAACTGATGTCTAACCAGTGTCATTGTCACAAGCCCAGAACCTGTCCACACTCTAAAGGTTGTTGAATCATCAAACACTGAGGCAATTTTTGCAGTAATAGCATTTTTTGCTGTTAAAAAAAAAAAAAACCCTAAACTTTTATTCTAATCCCAGTAATACATATTGTACATGAAACATAATATGAAACACGATATTCTGTCATGTCTTTCTTAAAGTATGGCTCTTAGTACTTGAAAAATCTTACCTTTGACATAAAAAGTGGCTGCAGCGTACCAGAACATTCATACAGTGAATGGAGATGATTCCAAAAAACAAAAGGCTCACTGGCCCCAACTGTAAAGGACAAACAAAAGAAAGGAAAGTGAAGCAATCTCTATAAAGGAGAACATCAATATTTATTTTTTTAGATAAACCATTACTAAACATAAATAGGTCTACTATGCAGGGGCGGACTGACCATTTGGAAACTCGGGCACTGCCCGAGGGCCCGGGGGTCAGTAGTGGGCCCCAGGAGATGCCCCTGGTACCTTTATCATAGGCTTTTTTGAGTTTGAGCAAGGACACAGGGCCTCCATGATCCCCTATTGCCCGGGGGCCCCATTTGTTGTCAGTCCGCCCCTGCTACTATGTATAGAGGTAACTCCCTTCCTATCATGAATACATGTTGCAGGTTTTAATGCCATTCTGACTCATAAATTAATACAGCCAGAATTGCTGCTTCACTTTAGGGGAAGCACCCAATCACACAACCCCAGCACTGATCAAGCGGTCATCGACCGCAGTTGAGAGCCAGCAGGATGCAATCCCAATCACATAAATTACTGTGATAACCACATTGTTCATACTGTATGATGAGGAGTAGGGCTTCTGTGCACGTTGCCCCGTACAGCCTGTACCCCCCCCCCCACCCACCCCCCATAAAAAAAATGATATTTTCACTAAAAATACACTAAAATCATTAGTAGACACAAACATTACATAATATACTTCAATTACGAATGAACACAGTTGGAGATTGGCCCCGATCACTCACTGTGTCCATTCAGAAAAGGAAAGGGCTGGTAAATTACATTTAGCGGCCCTTTCACTCACTCTCCATCCTGAAATAGCGGCTGGTAGGAGACGAGAGCAGAGGAGAGGAGGGGAGCTGGCAGCGCTGTGGGGGTGGACCAGGGGAGCACACAGGGGCCTGGGGCAACAGAAGGAAGTGGAAGCTGGACAAGAGGGGTGGCATTTTCTAGAACCATTTACCTGTATTTTTCTCCTGTAGCTGCTGAATGCAGGCGGGAGGGAGAGGAAGAGAAGACAATAGCTCCAGCTGCTACAGGAGGAAAATACAGGAGAATGGTTTTAGTAAATGTCGCGCCCACAACTGCTCCTGCCCAGGTGTAACAAGGAAGCCGCCCCCCTGATGCTATGCTTATGGTCTGGTCTGAATAATGTGTTCAGGTTTCTGGCGCACTGAAACCTAGACACAGGATTCAAAACCTGGAATGTCCAAATGAATCCCAGACATGTCTCTCCACCTCCTGTGGAAGTAGAAATCCAGCAGAAGTTGTCAGAGCATGCTGCGCGTTCTGGCTCCACGACAGCGGGCGGGTGACAGGTCCATTTTGCAGCTCATAGCTGGCCCCCAACCTCCATTCACCACATCACAGGCTCTGGAACTGAAGGTTCCCCAGGGTCAGGTTTTCTTCAGTACGTCTGTCTCCGACAGGAACACCATCACAATGGCCTTGAACAACAGAGTGATGTCCATGTGCAGAGGAGAAACATGTTCTCCTGGAGCAAGGCAAGGCCATCAGAGTTCCCAGCCAGATGCTGGAAGAGGAGAGGGGTAGTGAAGGTCACCGGGGAGACCGAGATGAACATCGGGGACAGTAGTGTAGCAATCGTGTATGTACAGAGATGGATGCGAACCTCCATTTTGGCAAAGGCCTCCATCTTGTATCATTTTCTACTCCAAATCCCCCCTCCCTCTCTGTTGAGTGACACGTGGTCCCTGGATGCGGAGTTCAAAAATGCATCAAGGCCCAGCAGGAGAGCTCATGGCTTTAAACCCCAATTAGCCTGGCCCCCATATGTCTGAGAGACTCTGCTTGGAAAAGGATTGTAAAACCATAAACCAGTCCCTCGCTGAGCTTCAAAGACATTCCAGGTAGTCGTAAACCAGACATCACATTCAACATCCATTTTCCCCCTATGATTTCATATCTTGGAATAGGCAAGACTTACATAAAAACCAGGCATATATTCAGACCGGTCACTTTAATACAAGTCGTCTGATATATTACACCCCCTATCTGACATCTACAGGAGAGCAGAAACTGATATCTCCTTAACCATCCCAGCAGGTATGTCATATTTCATATCTAGACATTCAGCAGATGATTCTGCGTATTAATCTACCTGTGAATAGAATGTTACATGTGCCTAGGAAAAGTTATTGACCATAGTGTAATTTGCCAGGGATTTGGTCACAGCCAAACCAGGATGTTTGGCAAGTACTTTACCTCCCTAAATTTCTTTCTGTTATCTCTTTGCTGTTTTATTGCTCTCTGTGTGTATATATATATATATATATATATATATATATATATATATATATATATATATATATATAGGCTACATCTGTTTCTGTAAATATTTTTTTTGCACCCTTTTGACCTTTTAGTAATAAATCTTACTTTCTGAAAGTGTTGAACTGTTTCTAAAGCTCTTTAATGCAAACTAAGAACCCGTCTCTGAAGAGCGCTACTGTGTGTTTAACCCTCTGTATACCCTGCCTGTGGTGACAGTAGTATACAGATGATTATTCAACCATCATAGTGTTATTGCTGATATTGCCGAGTTTCCTCTTTCTCTGTACAAAAAGGAGGTGGTGGCAGTGTGAAGGGTTAATTGCGTAATTAACCTGACCCAGTAACAATCGCTCCCAGGCTGCAAGTACACAGACTGTGGTCCATTAGCTGGAAAATCTTTGTGCAGGGTGCAGCTGGGCGTGGCATTGTTAAGCACGTGACAGCGCGGTTTTAGATTGGCTAGTCCTTCGATCATGAGTTTGGTGAGAAGGGCTGGGGTTTGACACCGCGATCGTCAGAAGTAGAAGTGGTCAGTGCTGGGTAGTGGGACACCTGGGGAACCGCCACCAGAGAAACCCCCACAACGCCTCGGTCCAGGCTGAATAATGTGGCAACTCTAGGTGCAGCACAAGGGAGAGCAATCACAGGAACAATGCCCTGTGTCTGTGTCTCTCCCTGCCAGCAGGAGGGAAAGGGGGAGAAACAAGCTTTCAGCTGCTGCACGGAGAGACACAGGGCATTGTTCCTGTGATTAATCCGCCTGCCCCGATCCCCTCACTTGTCTGGCTCACAACTGGTTTGGGCAACTTGTGTGTCCGCGCTCCCTACAGGAGGGCTGGTGCTACCCCCTATCAGTAGTGGGTCTAATAAAGAGCCTGCCTACAGCCAGCAGAAAAGGATTAATGTGTATGTCTGGACAAAAAAAAAAAAAAAAAGCAGTTCATCTTTTTAATACATGCATATTTCACATAGTATCGTCTCTTCAAAAAGTATCAAAATGCCTGTTCCAATCCAGAGAATGTTTACCTTCCTGTGCACTCTACCCGTGCTATACTAAATTCAGAACTACCCGAGTCCCAGCACCTTTAAGCAGAGAAACTCACCTTCGCTTCAATGGTCCTCATTCCTTGCCGGCATCCACTGTTGGGTGCCAGTTTTAGGGTGTCTTCATTGCCTGGCACGGGATGAAGTCACTCAGGAGTCAGTGACTCTGGCACACAGGGATTGTGCCAGTGATGTAAACTGCCCAGCACATGCACAGCCCAGTTCACATGCCAAAGAAAACAGCGAGCAAGCAGGTAAGTGTATTTCATGTCTCTTCTGCAATAAAGAGCCTGTCTGCACACAGCTTTGACAAGAGAACTTTAGTTCCGCTTTAAACTCATATAAACCCCACCGAGTCCCAAGGCTTTTATTAGGTTTTGGACTTTTGATAGATTATCTTACAATTGCTGCTTTATCTTGCGGTCAGCCTCAGCAATCTTGATATTGATTTTTGGGGACAGATAGTGCTTTCTTTTCATACTATACTTTAGAAGACAGACTTTAATTTTTTTTTTAAATAATAGAGAATAAATGGTAAAATTATTATAAAAAGCAATTTTCTGTTGATTTTGGCAGCATAAAAAAAAGTGTTAAAAAAACATTTTTTTTTTTTTTTCATTAAATTAAAATTTTAGTTCATCAATTCAACCACATTTTTTGCTAAAAAAAAACCCCGGATAAATACTGATTCAGGTTACAGCAGTTTACACCATTTTATAAAACCGTCTTTAGTTCAGTTTAAGTTATTTGTACTTCAGTCAAGTTTACACCTGTTTTTGCATCCATTTTTTTTTACATTGCTGAAGAAACCAATTATAGGTGACAAAAGTATAAACAAAAAATATCTTTCTTGCCTACAAACATAAATGGAATGCAAGTAAACAGACGGCATCCATTCACATCCATTCAAATCTATCTACAAGGAAAAGAGCTTTGCTCCTGACCCCGGCACTCTGCTTTAGATACTACTGACCTCTGAGCTCTGCATTACTTACTCCTGATCCCCACATGTTACGTTACATACTACTGACCTATGAACTCTATATATTACTCCTGACCCCAGTACCCCGTGTTATATACCACTAATCTCTAGACTCTGTGTTACTTACTCCTAACCCCTGCACTGCCCTGACCAAAGTGTATACTGCTCTGAGAGGCCGGACCCAGCCCAGTCAGCCAAGCCAGACCCAGCTAGCCTGGCCAGCCAAGACAAACCTGCTCAGTCAGCTGGGCAGACCAGAACTGAGCCCAGTCAGCTGGGCAGACCAGAACTGAGCCCAGTCAGCCGGGCAGACCAGAACTGAGCCCAGTCAGCCGGGCAGACCAGAACTGAGCCCAGTCAGCCGGGCAGACCAGAACTGAGCCCAGTCAGCCGGCCAGACCAGAACTGAGCCCAGTCAGCCGGCCAGACCAGAACTGAGCCCAGTCAGCCGGGCAGACCAGAACTGAGCCCAGTCAGCCGGGCAGACCAGAACTGAGCCCAGTCAGCCGGCCAGACCAGAACTGAGCCCAGTCAGCCGGCCAGACCAGAACTGAGCCCAGTCAGCCGGCCAGACCAGAACTGAGCCCAGTCAGCCGGCCAGACCAGAACTGAGCCCAGTCAGCCGGCCAGACCAGAACTGAGCCCAGTCAGCCGGCCAGACCAGAACTGAGCCCAGTCAGCCGGCCAGACCAGAACTGAGCCCAGTCAGCCGGCCAGACCAGAACTGAGC